TTCACAGGGAACTCAAGTGGCTTTCCCAGAAGAAAATCATTAACCCAATTAAAAAATAGGAAAATGAGCTTAATAAACAACTCTCTAAGGAAGATATATGAACAGCTAAAAAGTATATGAAAAAATGCTCAACATCCACTTCGTAAGGGAGATGCAGATCAAAACCACAATGCTGGCAGAGATGTGGCGAAAGGGGAACACTCCTACAATGTTGGTGGAAATGTAGATTGGTCTAGCAACTGTGGAGAACAATATGAAGTCTCCTCAAAGACCTTCAAATAGAACTACCATATGATCCAGCAATTCCACTCCTGGGAATCTCCCAAAGGACAGAATAACACTCAGTTGGAAAAGCACTTGCACACCAATATTTATGGCAGCATTATTTACAATTGCTAAGACATGGAACCAACGCAAAAGTCCACAGATGAATGGATTGAAAAAATGTGGCACATATGCTCCATGGAATACTATTCAGCCATAAAAAAACAATAAGGTCCTGGAATTTGATAGAAAGTGGACAAATATGGAAGATCTTTTACTAAGTGAAGCAACTCAGGCTATGAAAGAGAGACATTGTATGTCTCCACTTAACATATACCAACTGTCCACACTCTATGGTAGAGACTGGAAATCTGGAGAACAAAAAAGCATTAAAAATTGTCATGAACACTAGAGATAAAGTGGAAGGAAAGTGTTGGAAGGGAGGAGTGAAGGAAAGGAAAATTTTGGGAAAAAATTGAGAGGTAAGACTTCTGTGGGACATAGACATGGTTTATTATCTGTTGTTGAGGATGTATATAGTATTCTCAACTGGACTGTACTGAGGTGTATATTATGGTGGGTAAAGTCTCTTTAAAATCTAAATGATATATAGCTATTCAATGTGTAAATATTAATAATAATGAAAAATAGATAAAAGTGAAAAAATATAAAAAATCAAAACTAATCATTGTGACCACTCCCACACATATGTTCATTCCTTTCCGAATACTAATTTTCTAGTATGATATCTGTTACATTATTTGAGAGTAGAGCTGAATAGAAAAAAAAGAGAGACCCTTTATTTACTTTATGATATTTTCTGTATTTTTGGAAACAAATTAACTACTCAATTCCTCTCTGAGTACATTTTTAGAAACTTTTCATCATAGTCTATAGCTGCTCAAAGATATTACCAAGAGAAAGTTTTCAGAGGAGTTATTTGAGTCTTCACAATAGAAAAGAAAACACGATAGCAAATTATTTCAGAGTGTGTTTTTAGAAATTATGGCACATACACTCCATGGAATACTATTCAGCCATAAAAAACAACAAAGCCATGGAATTTGATAGAAAGTGGATGAATATGGAAGATTTGTTGCTAAGTGAAGCAAGTAAAGCTATGAAAGAGAGACATTGTATGTCTCTACTCAATATATACCAACTGTCCACACTCTATGGTAGAGACTGAAAGACTGGAGAACATAAAAGCATTAAAAATTGTAATGGACACTAGAGACAAAGTGGAAGAACAGTGTGGGAGGGGAAGAGCATAGGAAAGGAAATTTGGGGAGTAAATGGAGATGTAAGACGTCTGGGACACAGATAAGGTTTTTTATTTGTTGAAGAGGATGTGTATAATAGTCTCAACTGGGTTGGAATGAGGTGTATATCATGCTAGGTAAAGTCTCTTCACAATCTAAATGAAGTATAGCAATTTAATATATGAATAATAATTTTTTTGGGGGGAGAGGTTTTCGCTATAGGGTGCGTGCGCACACCAGACAGACAGAGAGAGACATGGAGACAGAAAGCGAGAAATCACCCCCCAGAGGGGATGGTCACACCACAATCCCTTCTCCTCCATTCTCCTCTCGGGATCTTGGGCACGCATGCACACGCGCCCAGTGTGAGTTTTAAGCCACCAGGTCCAGGACTTGAACCGCGGTCGACTACGTGGGAGTCCAGCGCCATATCCATTACGCTAACTGCTGGTTCCCATGAATAATAATTTTTAAAATTAATTAAAAAAAGAAGTCTTAAACTATTACTGTAGTGTAAAATTCTACTCTCTTCATTTGACTGGAGAACGGCTGTTAGGTTTGCCTTTAATGAATGAGCTATCTTTCAAATCTAAAGGAAGTATAAGAGAAAACATATATTTTTCATCAAAATAGATAGCCAGTTCTAGTCTAGACTTCAAATCGAACATCCTTCTAGTCTCTCATGTGTCTGTATTATTCACTCATTTATTCATCATACATTTTTTAAAAATTTCCAGCTGGCACATGTGCTCACCAGAGAGAGACAGATGAAGAGAGAGTGAGAAAGCACCCCCATGAAGAATGGTCACTCCACCATTTCTCTCTGCTTTCAAGATTTTGAGCACACATGCACACATGACTAGTGTTTTTCAAACTGCTGGGACTGGGACCCAAACAGTGGGGCAGCTATATGTGTTGGATCCAGTCACCTGAACTCCCCGGGGCCATGGACTGTCCATTATACCTTTTTTCCCTCCAATTCTGTGACCCAATCTTGGTAGATAACTGAGCAACCAAAAAGAATATATGTAGTATCAAACTGCTGTATTCTAATCTTTCCCCTCTACAACAGAACATAATCATTACAAATGACAATCAGCAGTTAGTGCTGGGTTTGTCTACTTGTCTACCTTATTTTTCCCATCTTAACTTTCTCTTTTTAGAAATTTCCAGAAACTTTCCCCAGACACTATTTTAGATAGTATATTAACTTTTGAATTCCTATAGGTATTTTTTTTTATGACCTCTGCTTTCCCACTTGATCCAACAAATTTCTTTTCTAAACAAACGCTCTTTTTGGCACACTTCGGAAGCAGACAATGAAATAGTACAATAATCTCCATGAGCAGCTGTAAGAAGCTGGGGAAACATTTTGGGCAACCTGGAAGAAAAACGTCTCAGGAATTTCAAGTTAACAAGAAACTTAAATCTCAGTAGTTTTCTAGGGGAAAAATATATCTGAAATCTCTATGGAATAAAAACAACAACAAAAGACCAATAAGTGGTGAAGTGGCAGATGGAACGAGAGCTGACTCAAAGGCTTCTCTGATTGCACCCTGCAGGGAGACCACCCAACATGACACAGCCAGAAAGTTCCTGTCCTAGGACATCTATATCTTCCTCTGCTATAAAACTAAGCATAACAGACAACTGCATTGCCATTCAGTTTGCTCTCCCTGTTACAGTTACAGTGTCTAGTGGTTCCAACACATAAACGATATTTTCTAGCAACATCCTTTTATTAACCTGAGTTGACTCTTAAATTACCAGAAGCAAATTCTATAGTACCAAATATACTATTTAAATTAAGTGAAAATCATGTCCCAAGGGTACACCCCAATAAATTGGAATTATTATTATATTGGGTTGGCAGAAAAGTCATGAGGTATTTTTCTGTTTTCTATGGAAAAATGAGTCATGTCTTTTCTGAAAATTCAATACTTCTTAAATTGTCGACAGAAACCCAGTTTCTTTTCTTGCTTTACAAAGAATAACTAAGACTTAGATGCATTTTCTTTTTACAAGAAACTTATGTATATAAAACTGCCATCAGTAAGGTGAAAATATCCAATATAGAGAATTGTTGAATCCTCAAGTCTCAACTTTGTACAAAGTACTTGAAAAAAAAAATAAAGTTGCTCATGATCAAATAATACATGTAATTTTCACTTCCAGTATACTTTATGGTCTTCTATTCAAGAAAAATATTCTAGGCTAGAGAATCAATGCCAACAAAAGGACTTTGCCTCCATTGGATTAGAGAATGTTGCTTCAATCGAAGTTAAAACTATACCTAGATTTAAAAATAGAATCAATTATAACATTACATCATACAGCAAGACCTCTGAATGAATGACATTTTTATAGCCTGTTGTGTACTGCCACTATCCTGGTTTTGCAATCTCGATTAAATCACTTAATTTGGGGCCTTACATTCCTCAGGTGGAAAGTCAATGTGTTTAGTTACATGATCACTGAAGTCTTTTAGGGCTTTCAAAAAATCTCAGCTTTTAAGATCTCTTCCATGAACATTTGCCACATTTATTCTTCACTGTCATCTGCAGTGAACGAGGTAGAGAATGGTGTGATTTATGAAAGACAAAATAAAGAAATGCTTAAAAAAAAAATTCTGGTACAAGACCTGGGGTGTCTGCATGAGATAAGACAGGTGAGAACTGGATAACTAGGAGACAGGATTGATGCTTGCTAGTTTTGTGACATTCAGCAAGTTGTCTTATCTCTTTGAGCCCTGGTTTCCTTATCTGTAACAATGGGACATAACCTCATACATTCACAAAATGTTTAGCATAAAACAAAATCCTCATAGCTAGATACTACTCTATACGAGAAACAGGCAATATGTAATCATGTAATATAATAAATGCAGCAAGAGTACTGAATTCTCTGGCAGCTCACACCTTGTCTAAGACCTGAGGTTCCTTTATAACTGACTTCTAAAGGTGTTGAACCCACATTTCTCAGCAGAATTAGGGATATGCTTTCACAATGTTTTTTTTTCAATTTTTCTAAGACCAGAACTAGAGAAGCAGTGTCCTCTAAATATGAACATTTTAACCCAACAACCTACTGAAGCACAGAATTTCCGAATATATCCTGCTTAGATTATTTCCTAGAACCTTCTTCCATAGTTCATCAACCAAAGAAAATGAAACTTTGTTATCTTTTCTGAAAATAGAAAATCTGGTGATATTGGCAACCCTTACAATTATTATAACTATAAAAATTAACCATTGATTATACATTAACCACAATGTATTGGGTCATCAGAAAAGTCACAATACATTTTCGCATAGAAAAATATGTCATGACTTTTCCAACAACTCAATATCTTTATTTGATACTCAGCCTCTATTCCCTTTAACTCTTCTCCTAGTTCTCTTATCATTTCAGAGATTTAAATGTGGTTACTGCATCTTAAAAAAAAAAGGCTTATACAACATATTTGTTATCAATGCTTTATTGTTGAAAACAAAATTGAAATTCTCTGGCACATAAAACAATTATTTCTACAAAAGGAAAGCCTACAAATCTTGATAATTTATACAAATAACAGTTTTTCAAAAAATAAAATTTAATTTAGTAAACTTGTCTTGTGCTCTATATTTTTAGCACTGTCTGTGATAATCCACCATAAATCCCTGAGCGGAGACATTTTTTGATCACGTTCTAATAATTCCCCCAACCCTCCCGCCAAGTGGTCAGTTACTAAGTCCAGCCCTGTAGTGAAAAGTGTCAGGGACATTTTGTTATTAAAGATCCATGCATTTTATGACACAGGCCCAATTATTAATGCTACTTGGGAACTGGGTCAACCTGAAGTGCCTCTACTGTGCATTTGTGAATCTGTTAAGAACCAAGTCTTTGAAAGGAAGAGTGAAAACAATGAAAAAGACATACAATGCTAAGACTAGGAAGCCATCCTAGGTCAATAACTATTTAAATAAATAAAAATGTTAGACACTGAACTCATCTCTATAACTTTATATTAAATTCTTTGTTTTCTTTTTTGCAATTGCCAATGCTCTAAATGAAAAATATACTTCAACCCACTATTTTGGTTTGACCATACGTGGTTGTTAGATGTTAAATATCATTCTGAAAACACACTGATTGAGTTATAATTTAACTTCTGGCCCGTCAATGAAATGTTGGTAAAATAACACACATCTTATAGGAGGGCCTTCCTAATGCCATCAAAAAATCTCTCTCACTACATTTTTCCTTCTCACATAATCACTAACGCTGTAGGAACACTACTGCAAATACTTCAACCCACTATACTCAGATAAGTAGCAAAACATAAAATATGAAGAGAAAACATAATACGATGTGTCTGCATGTCCAGCTTCCCTTTAATGTGGACACTTATCATATGTACATGGAGTGCGAAAGGAAAGGAGAAAAAGCTAATTTTCAGTTGCAAAGAACTGGTGTAATACATCAAGTTTTGTTTTGTTATTCTGCTATGGTAGAATAATAAATAAATAAATATATAAGGCATAGTATAGCTACTTTCTCTATGAAGAAGTTGATAATGGACTGCTGTTTTATGGAGTTAATTTTTAGTACTAACGTTTGACTGCCAGGCAAAAAAAAAAATGTTCAATAAATGTTTTTTCTCTACTTTATTTATAGTCTTTTACTTGTGAAATGATCATTGAAGTGGTTACTAACAGGTAATGAAATAAAATACCAAATTTTACTATCGAAAAATAGTTTTCAACTGAGGAAAGCACTTGGCAGAAGACCTAGACACACGCAGGCTAATGCTCGACTCTATTGCAGCTTTAACATATGTCATTTTTTATGTCTTTTGGGAAGAGCAAAATAAGATAAAAATGATTTCTTGAAAGTATACCAGCATTGCTATTTAGGGTACCTATTCGAAAGTGATTAGCATTTCATCCCACCACTTTCCAAAACATGACATTGTCGGCAACTATCATCAACGCTCCTTCGCATACACTTAACTTTTTTTTAATCAGCAACATTTGGAAAGCACCAAAGCATCTTCTCCTTTGTCTAATACCTGTGGGTTAGTTACTGAACATGGAACATTTATAAACTCCTCTTTCCTTTATCCTTATGGAAGAATACGCCTTTGACTACAAGGCAAAGGTGTATTCTAGAAGACAATTTCAGAAAAATTAATACCATGAATCCTATACTAGGCAGTTTGGGGGAAAATATTGATAACATGAAAATAAAGAATGCCTTCTTGACATTGTAAGGCCTTCTCAGCCCCTCTTCCAACCTCAGTGTGAGGGGTAGTTAGCTCTAACTTCTGATCCTCTTCAGAACATAAAAAAGCAAGTGATGTTCGTAAGAGTGGCATCTGCAACATCCGAATCAAAATGTTATGTGCACTCGTCAAGAAACCACTGCAGATTCTGACAGATAATTGACGCTGTATCAAAAAAAGAAAATAGCCTATGCATCGGAATTGACAAGTAGGCTGTCCCAAGGAGGAAAGACAGCAGCCTTAGGACAAACCATCTGGTGGCTCACTGCAATTCACACTACGCTTTAATCACCCTCTTTTAATACTTCACCTTGGCTGAATGGACACTCTGACTTCTCACAGTGTTTAAGGAACAATATAGTGTTGAAATTAGCTTTCCCAAATGAACTAGATCAGTAACTTAGTTATCCCCACCCCCTTTTGAGAATGCCAAAAGATCCTGTTTTAAGTGCTCTGGTTTACAGTTTGTGGGTAATAATTGCATCTTCCAGGAGGTCTCCGATGTTCCCCTTTTTGGTGTTAATGGCTGTGCCAACAGCAAAGTGGATGCTCCCAGAAGCAGCAGTGATCTCAATGACCTCTGCCCTAGTCTTCTAGTCCAAACTGAGCTCTCGTCATAGCACTGCTGGGAAGTTTTGTTAACGAAGCCAGCTTTGAAAACGGGAGGAGTTTCTGTCCCTCCTCTGTCAGGTCTTGGAAGTCTTTAGACCTTGTTTTTCCATGATGTTCCACAACTTGCGGAGATTGGACTGTGTGATGACATCATCCGGCTTGAGCTGCAGAGCCCGCAGGTAGTTGGCTTCCGCCTTCTGGAGTTTGCCGTTGAGGTGCAGAATGGCACCCAAATTCATCAGAGCAGCTGGATACTGCAAGAAGAGAAAGGGAAGAAAATGATTAAAGGGCCGTTTCCATCTTTGCTGTGTGGAAAACAAAAATCCTCATCCACTTATATAAATGATTCCCTTATGTCTAGAGGCATTTTAAGGAAGCAATTTAGCAATTTATACAAATAGACAAAGATAACAAGGAAGAAAAAATGTTCAAAACAGCTGCTGTGTATTTGGTGTTTTAAACAGGACAACGAGAAAAACAGCATTTTTTTTTTAATGACACATCATAAGTAATATACGAAGACCTAGTAACCTAACCAGATTATATTTTTTGAGAAAAATGTCAAAAGTGGTACAATTTCAGATGGAAATAACTTCAATGAGACAAAATAAAAAATTAAGTAGGCAAGGTTGACAAAAGTCCACTCTTTGCTTTGCTTTTTCTTAGCAATATTCTAGGCATTTTTAGGGGGAAAAAAAGAACTAAAAAACCTACAAAATTTTACTGACATTTTTACAATAAGTACCCTGAAAAAAGTGAAATGTAACTACTAAAGTGCTTTGAAACTTAACCAAAGTAGTTTAACAAAACGAGTATTTATTTATTTTTTGCTAGAGGGTATATGTACTTGCCAGACAGAGAAGACAGGGAGAGGGAGAAACCACCCACCATGAGGAATGATCAAGCCACAATCCCTTCTCTTCCATCTCTCTCCCCACAGGATTTTGGGCACGCGCACACACACACACACCTGGTGTGTTTCTGAAGCCACACTGTATACCAAATGGTATGTGGCTGCCTTAATCATCAAACCATGGAGATGACCTAACAAGTCCTTATTTTTTTTAAAGAATTATTTTTCTTAACTTTATTTATCTTAATTTGACCAGAGAGGGACAGAAAGAGAGAAAGTGAGAAAGCAAGCCACCAGGTCCAGGAATCGATGACGGTCAACCATGTGGGAGTCCAGTGCCCTTAACCACATCACACCTGCTGGCTCCAAGTCTTTATTTTTTTAAAGGCAACATTTTTAAACTTCTAATAGTGAATTCTTACTATAAATATAGCAAAATAAAAAAATATTAAAATAGAAAAAATATAGCATAGAGAAATAAAACTTCTATAAGAAAAATTTTATATACCTTCTTAAAAGGTAATTTGCAATAAGGTATGATTATTATAAAAATAAAACTATTGTTAAAAAAGTTTTTAGAAGTCATGAATTATACAGTACTAGTTTAATATAAAATACTCCCATGCCAAAATTCTCAGACATTAGTCAACAACAACAAAGTCCTCCCCAAAGGAAAATAAAATATTTCGCTTGTTATCTACAAATAAAAGCTGTTCTGCTCTTGTCTAGTCTCTGGAACATTCTAGATAGCAGCTAATATCTTGGCAATTACATAAATGTGTATTTCAAGTATCAGATAAAATTAAGAGTGTTTATGCTACGACTATGCTATCATTTCATAGTGTCAATTATTAAATGTCTTTCAACTTTGTGCTGAAGTCTAAAATAATTCACAATAATTTTTATGACTTAGTATCTTCACGATGCATAAATTTTTAGCTGAATTCATGTGATTCCACTATTTACTGTAAAAACAATTATTTCTGGGCAAATAAACAGAACTATGCGAGAGGGTATATTAGCTGAAAATAAACCAACTGAGGAACAAATGATCAGAATTGGATTTGAAGAGTTCTGGGTCTGAGTTCTTGCTCAATCACTGACAATGAGCTTGGTGAAGTTCCCTAACATAAATGTGCCCCCAGTTCTTTTGATTGTGAAATAATGAAACATTATTGTTTCATAACAACATTTGCATGTTGTTAGAAAGACACACACACACACACACAAAATCACATGTAGTACTGTACAGGTATAAGACAGATACTTTATAATTGTCAAGGTCACTTTTCCTCATCTCATTTTGCTTGAGGTCTAGCACATTCATGTTTGTTATTTTTTTTTTTTTAATTTTGGAGAGTTTATTGCTATAGAGCGCACATGCTCGCCAGAAAGACAGAGAGAGACAGAGAGATAGAAAGTGAAAAATCACCCCCCAGTTGGGATTGTGGCATCCCTTCTCGTCCATTCTCCTCCCAGGATCTTGGGCACGCATGCACACATGTCGGGAGTGAGTTTAAGCCACTGGGTGCAGGGCTTGAACTGCGGTCAACTACATAAGAGTCCAGCAACATAGCCATTATGCCAATTGCAGGTCCCACATATTTGTTATTTTTATGTTGCCTTGCAACCTGTAAAATTTTGATTTCAGTCACTACATATTATGTCTTTGGATGCACAATAAATTATCTTAAGTTTTCAACTAGTGGACACTATTTTCAAATTTTTCCACATTCCTTTTCTGTTTTGAAAAAAATAATTTTGCAAATATAAGCTATTCCTGACCTTCAAAAACTTTCTAGTCAGGATGACTCCATACTTATGGAGAAAAATACAGATGGCCAATTTCTAATTTTAAACACCAATCCAAATAAACACAGCTACAAATTATATGTGCAGTGAAAAGCTCCACATTGGAAACTGAAAATACCACCACCTACTCTGTCTTCCTAGAAGAACTTGGTTATCACACCATTATCATCTTGAATTCCTTGATGCCCAGTCACATTTCTAAATTATGTCCCCTCAGAGTGCTTAGCACAACTATCAATAAACAGTTACTAAACTGACGGTGAAGTGTGTGTTCACAGCTTGAATTACTAGAGATGCTAAGTAGATAAAATGTACAGACTTCCTGCCATCCTGAGTGGGAAGAAAGGAAACAAGGAGGGAGAGCCACTGCAGGAGACCATTCCTTACTAACCAGAAATAGAAGAGACCCAATGATGGGCTGAGAGAAACCAGATGGCTCTGTGGGATAGTCGGTATTTCTTCAATCCCTTTATTACCCAAGTGTCTGTACCTATATTGTCTGTACTTAACAACGGCAGTTCAGAGGAATTATTGAAAACACTCAGAGGTTACAGAGTCAGACTGCCTAGGTTTTCAAATACCAGCTCCACCACAGAGTTCTGTGCACTCAAACAAGTTGGGTCAGGGCTCAGGAACTCGGTTTCTTCTATAAAGGCGATGCCACTAGTACTTCCTTCAGAGTTGCTGTAGAGATTATCCAAGAATGAGGGAACTTCAAACAGTCCATAGAAAAATGGAATCAAAGTATGAGTTTATTTTAAGATAAAACATTTCCAAGTCCATGCATATTTTTCATAATATGCATTTTCTATAAACTTTCTAAAGACTTTCTTATACAAACACTATTGTATTTTTCCTCTTCTCTTTTTCTCCTTAGTATTTCAGAAACACAAAGTAGAATCTTTTTGTAAATATGCTAAACAACCACCAAGTCCAAACGCTGAGGATTATTATTTTTTGTAGTCTTTTTCCTATAAGACATATTTTCTTACCAGAAAGAGAGTGTAAAATCATCCCCTCCCAGGAGGATGGCCACACTACAAAGCTGCTGGGTTTGGGACCGGCACAGTCGGTCATATGAGACCCAGTGCCTTAACCTCCATGCTATATCGTGGCCTAAAAAGGCTGAGGATTTTTGAACTGGTTCTATCTTTATTAACTTTCTAGATTTTTAAAGTTTAAATATGTAAGAGACGGGTAGGAAGATGTGTGCTGCAGTACATGGAGCCTCGTAAATAGGATTTACTATTATTACAGAATCATAGCTTGAGGTTATTCTGTCCTTGAGACACTCTAACATTATCTACCTGCATCAAATGATGAAAAAACTTTTGAATTGTAATATTATTCTAAGAACATACACTTAGAAAGCTATATCTGGTCTGATGAGTTCTGAATATTAATTTATTAGTATTATTTTTGCAATAGCTTGAATTTTGAATCAGCTACACTAACATGTGACTCATTAAACAAAGATCATCGTTAAGGTGATATTTGAAGTGACTGGATAACATCTCAAGAAAGTTCACATGTACTTATTAACTGCTTTTCTTAAACATTAAAGATATGTGTAAACTAAAAATATGCATATTGAAGAACGCCCTTCAGTATTTTTAGGCAGCTATACATTTCAGGTTCAGGGATGACATTTTAGTTTGAATATAAAATGTCTATTTTAATAGAATAGAAGTTATTTATTTAAGGTAATCTAAAAATGAACATTATGTAATATGTAAACCACCACTATAATTTTTTATGTAAATGAATACAAACTGATGAAATTTACATACCAGTATGCTAAAATGTGACATAAGGAACAAGAATGATCACCTTAGGTAACTGTTTTGAAAGTGTCCACAGTTATTTAGACATAAATCATCTCATGTTTTTTGAAAATTTGTAGGTTGGGTATAGATTTTTTCTTTTCATCCTTTAATTTTCTTATTATTTTTTACATTCAATCACTGTACATCTTTACAGCATACAAAAAAATGGACTTTCCCAGCATGAACACACTGTACATTAGTCTAGTCCAAGATATTAATATCCACTTTATCAACAGATAATTTTCCAGTTTTGGTTTGTTACATGCTTTTCGTATTTTTCCCCCTGATTTCCTCCCCTGCTCTCCCCTGCGCTGTCCACCCTCCTCCCACACTGTCTCTACTGTCTACAGTTGCTCTCCATGCCTTTGCACCTCTCAACCTTTCAGTTCTGTCATACAGTGCAAATATTCACTATATGTTAAATAAGGACAAAAAATGCTTCTCTTTCATAGTCTGCCTTGCTTTGCTTAACAGTGGATCATCCACATTTGTCTCCTTTCAATCAAGTGTCCTTGTTTTTCATGGCAGAGTGATATTCCATAGTATATATGTGTCACACTTTTTCAATCCATTCTTCTGCTCTGAGACACTGATGCTGATTCCATGTTTTAGCAATTGTGAATAACGCTGCAATAAACACAGGTGTGCAAATACTTTTCCAACAAAGTGTATTCCAATCCTTTGGGAAGGTACGCAGGAGTGGAATTGCTGGATAGTACGGTCATTTTATTTATAAGTTTTGTAGAAGCTCCATATTGTTCTC